TTCCCGTTCTTCCTCTTCCTACTCTCTCTCTCCTTCTCTTCCTCTCCCTTCCATCCTCCTCTCCTTGCCTCTTTCTTCTTTCCCCCATCATGTTTTCTTCCTTTCTCTCTTTCTTCTCTATTATTGTAGGTGTCTCTTTCCAACCTCAGTTTATATTTCTTTGGGATGGTATTTCCACAGACCCAAATATAATTTGATATCATTTCTTATTCCCTTACCTTCGCTAATCTATCCTAGCTATATTTTCCTCCCCTTTATATCTCATTTTTGGCTGTATACTATATATTTAATATTTTCTTTTCTGTTTTCCCCTTCTTCTCCCCCTTTTCCATTTAACAGTGCCTCATCTGGGTTCTATATCTTCGCCCTATTTTCTTTTCTAGTTTTTTTTCTCTAGTCAATCATAGAATCTTCCCCATGTCTTAAAGTACTCCGATTCCTCTTTATCCTTTATTTTCATTATCAACCTATTCATCTCTGCACAATCTAATACCTTTTTTACTATCTCTTCATCTGTTGGTAGCTTATTTGATTTCCAATTTTGGGCAAATACAATTCTTGCTGCTGTAGTTATGTGTATAATCAAATAGGTATCCTCTTTCTTGAGTTTCTCTGGGATAATACCTAATAAGAATATCTCTGTTCTAAATTCTATTTACTTTCATATGGGTGGAATCCCAGGAAGCTTTTAGATTTGGGATTCCACAGTTTGTGCTAACATGTCTGTCTTATTAAATTGGAACTTTAAGGAGAGCTCTGCCTTGGAGTGATTTAATTCTGCATGATATTTGGAACGCTGACACCTTTAGTGTTACACACCTTGATGTCAATTGAATACCCAAATGTTTCACTTTTTTCACCACCTATATATCCAGTTTCCCCATCAACTCTCTTTTCTGTTTTTTCTGTCATATTTTTCACCAAAACGTTTGTTTTATCTTTATTGATCTTCAAGCCCGCTACTTCTCCATAATCTTCTATTATTTCAGCTAGTTTTGGCTCTGTTTCTATTGGATCTTCCATAATAAACACCAAATCATCTGCAAATGCTTGTAGCTTATATTCTTCTTTCTTAACCTTCATTACTTTTTCCTCTTTATTTTGTCGTATTTCTCTGTTCAAAATCTCTAGTGTCAGTATAAATAACAATGGCGATAGTGGACAACCTTGTCTAGTTCCCTTCGTGATCTCTATCTTTCCTATTATCTCACCATTCACCATTACCTTTGCGGATTGGTTATGGTATATTGTTTTGATCATATTTATAAATCCCTCACCAAATCCCATCATTTGAAATTGCATTATCATAAATTTCCAGTTCACATTATCAAAGACCTTTTGAAAATGCACCAAGATTTTGAGGAGGTAATTTTTTTTTAAAAAGGTTTTGCGCTCTGCAGACCTCCCAAACCCTCTGCACGTCCATTTTTGTGAAGGAGGTGCGTCTTATACACAGCTAAAATGCTGTGTATAAGACGCACCGAGATTTTCACTNCCTGGTTTGCTGTAAGAGCTTTTTGTTTTTGCATTATAACTTTTTGCCAGAGACTGTATGTTTAATTTTGGGCTCGCAGCCAGCTTGAGTCAGGACTGATAAGATAGATAATCTTGAAGTATTGTGACCTAAAGTGCAATCAGAGCTGTCTGTAGGATAAAAGAATTCTGATCAAGCAAACAGCATATAGCACAAGCAAGCCCTGACTCAAGCATGTATTGTAAATATTGAGACAATGTTTTAAAATTACGTTCAAATTCTAGGATAATTGTCTCATTTGAGTCAGTGGAGTCAAATGTTTCAACCGGATGTGAATATGTGGGGCTTTTCCTGTACATTTGCACACTTGGGTTGCCGCTCTCAGAACATGGTCTTCTTGACACAGGAGTGTAGAAGTGAATCATGCCTCTATCAAAAGAGATTTAATCCTTGGAGTGGGGGGAGTTTTGATGCTCATGAAGCTCAAAAGAACTGTAAAACCATTGCTGGCATGTTTGATTGAAGTAACCAAAGGTATAGTCAGTGATTAAAATCTCACATCCCTTTTCCTATAAAAATAATGTTGGCTCAGATTGTTGAGTGGAGACATGACAAAGTAAATTTCTGTCTGTGTTTCTATTTAATTGGAATCTCTGTCTATTCATACAACTTAGATGAAGCTCAGATCTCACTGTAAACATTACTCATTGGTCTCACTCTGCATATCAAAAAAGACTGGACAAATCTGACACCTCCAGTTGCATACCATACCTGGTTTTGGGATTCTGGAAATCTTCATCAACCACATAACTCAAATTTGGGAAACATTCTCACACTTTTCGACCAGGAAACACTTTTCAAACACAGTAACCCAAATGTGGGAAATATTCACACACTTTTCAACCAGTGTGAGCCCTAAAATAAGCTTAATATCATTTTAGAGGGAATTTAAAGTCTCGTAATAATCCTAAAAACAGAAAAGTTTTCTGCAGTGAAAGAAGCCTTCTGTTTTCGATTTGTTGCAGCTATCAGATTAAGCCGTATATCAGCCCTCTTCAAGGAGGCAATACATCTTTGAAATGTAGGTTAAAATAGATTGATTTTCAGTTTTGCACCTTAATCCTATTCTATTTTTCATTCTTAAGGACATTTCCCCTTGCTTTGGACCTTGGGTGTGGGCGAAGCTACATTGCTCAGCATTTAAACAAGGTATTAAGCTTTTTTAAAAATTTGTAGTTTGGTTTTATTCATGCAGCACACCGTTAGATTGTGGATTGCTTAATAAATAACAATATTCTCTTCTACTGAAATCACATTTGACTGATTTACACAATACATCAAAATAATAAACCATGGGTTATAAACCAGAATGCTTGGGTTTCTACAAGGCATGAAGCTGCAGCTAGACAGATCACATCATGACTTAATATGTTGTGGGAACCTGCCTAACCTTGTAAATTTGAATCAGACAACTGACCTAAGCAATCAGTCAAGCCTTTGTTGCATGCTCAAAATAAGATGTAACAAATGTCAGTCCTGTTTAATCATTTTGTGTCTTACAGTCTCAGCTTTTTGATATACTGTAGGGTTACAAAGAAGTAAGCCTCATTGGTTCAATTGGATTTTCAAGCAATTATGCAGAAGGTTGGAATTAATTGCCATTCCTTAGAATACGTGGGGTTTTCTGGGGCGGGCAGAGAATCCTAATTATATTTTCTATGTCTGATCAGAAGCCTCTTTCAACTAATTAAAATGGCTTTCCTCAGATAAAGAAATAGAGGTAAGTAGTTTTGTGAATGTTTTGATTCCTCAAATACCTGCTTTTCCAAAATGTTTTGGGGTAGTTTTAGACTAGTGACTGTAGTTCCATAGATCAATTATTTAAAATACAATGTTTCAGAAGTATTATTTTAACAAAACAACAAACTCAAATAAATAGTTTAATGGCACAAACATACAATATTATGCTTAAGTGAAGAAACAGCCTTATCACATACAACAAGTTTGGGAACCACTGACATACAACATGCTACTCTTATTTTTCTTCTGGCTAGACAAACTTAACTAAGCTTCCTAAGTAAATCAATAAAATAACTGTAAATTATTTACCACCTATTTTTCTTTCAGGATGTTGTTGAAAGGCTTTTTCAATCGGATGTCGCTGAAAACGCTCTGGTAAGATTTGCATGCTGTTTGTCAGATATTAACTTGTGCTTTTGAAAAGATAAATTTTCTTAATTGGAGTCCTAAATTATTTTTCTTTTAATCCGATTTAGAAGAACACAATAGATTCAGAAATACCAAGAGTCAATATCATAGCGGATGAAGAATTTCTTCCTTTCAAAGAAAACACATTTAATCTTGTTGTCAGCAGTCTGAGGTAACTAACAATTGAATTAAAGTAGACAGAAACATTTATAATGAGAATAGTGATTTTTGTAATTGGGAGCCTTAGGTTCTATACTGTTCCTGAGGTTGCAGTTATGTGTGTTAGTATAATATCTGTCAAGAACCGGGGAAATCAAGAGATTTGGGTAGTTCAAATGAGTATAAAGATTCATTGAAAGCTAAAGTTCTCGACAAGAATCTGAACTACTATTGGTCAAAGGAAATAAACGAGAGTTAAGAAGAAATTCAAGGTAGGCTGAACTTAGATCTTTTGTTGGGCGTGCAGGGACTCATGGCTGATGATGCGTTTGGCCCCTCCCTTGGGCTCAGCCTGGCCATCTTCTACAATATCTGGCCTGCTACAAGAACAAGCTTGGCAAATGTACTGTATTTTTCAGTGTATAAGACGCACTGGAGTATAAGATGCACCAAGATTTTTTCAGAATTTTTTTTAAATTCTCTTACATAGCATTTTAAGTATACATTCACATAGTTGTCATGCTTCTATTCATTTATCATTCTTATACATTTTTTATTTTATTTAATAGGTTATAATATACAATTTGGGTTGCTTTATTTACCATCCCCTCTTCCTTTTGTAACACAACCTCATTTTCCCTTTCTTTTCTCCCTCCCTCCCTTTTCTACTTTCTTTCTTCTTCATCTCCTTCCTCTTCCTTCTTACCTTGCCTTTCTCCCACTCCTCCTCTTCCTCTTCCCCTCCCTACCCTCTCTCCTTCTCTTCNTTATTTCATTTAATAGGTTATAATATATAGTTTGAGTTGCTTTATTTACCATCCCTTCCACCTGTTATAACACCACCTTATTTTCCCTTTCTTTTCTCCCTCCCTCCCTTCTCTACTTTCTTCCTCCCTCCTCTCCTTCCCTTTCTTTCTTCCTTTCCCTTTCTTCTACTCTTCCTCTTCCCCTTCCTACCTTCTCTCCTTCTCTTTCTCTCCCTTCCATCCTCCTCTCCTTACCTCTTTCTTCTTTCCCCCCAACTTCCTCTAATTCTCTCTTCCTCTCTCTCTCTCTTTTTCTATTGTTGCAGGTGTCTCTTTCAAATCTCAGTTTATTTTTCCTTGGAATGCTATTTCCGCAAACACAAATATAATTTGGTATCATTTCTTATTCCCTTACCTTCGCTAATCTATCCTAACTATGCCCCCCTTTATATCTCACTCTGAAATATATACTTGTATATTTAATATTTTCTTTTCTGCCCACCCCCCTTTTCCATTAAATAGTGCATTGTCTGGGTTCTGTATCTTCTCCTTACCTTCTTTTCTAGCTTCCTTTCCCTAGCCAATCATAAAATCTTCCCCATGTCTTGAAGTACACAGATTATTCTTTATTTTTTATTTTCAATGTCAACCTATTCATCTCTGCACAATCCAGTATCTTTATTTAATAAATATTAAATAAGTTATCTGTTGGTAACTTATTTAATTTCCAATTTTGGGCAAATATAATTCTCACTGCTGTAGTTATGTATATAATCAAATAAGTATTCTCTTTCTTGAGTTTCTCTGGAATAATACCTAATAAAAATATCTCTGGTCTAAATTCTATTTCTTGTTGTAACATTTTCTCTAGCCATACTCTAAAAGCCGCCAGTGTCATAAACAGATAGTCCTTGACTTACGAGCATTTGTTTAGTGACTATTCAAAGTTGCAAAGTCATTGAAAAAAGTGATATATGGCATGATCATTGCATCATTCCCACCGTTACATGATTAAAATTCAGGAGCTTGACAACTGCCATGTATTTATGATTCATTTAACAACCAAGGCAAATTAGTAAAATTGGGCACAACTCAACTGCCTTGCTTATCAATGGAAAGACAAGCAGTGGAAAGGCAAGAATTCGTTATAGTTGGTTAAGGCACCAGGCTAGAAACCTGGAGAAATTGATTTCTATTGCTGTCTTAGGCACAAGGCCAGCTGGCTAACCTTAGGCCAGTCATTCACACTCAGTCTTGGGAAAGTGACAAAGGCAAACCACTTCTGAAAAGCCTTGCCAAGAAAACTACAGGCAATTGCCATGAGTCAACACTAACTCAAAGTATTGGTGACACTAAAAAACACACAATGCCACCAAAAAAACAAAACAAAAGATACCTTAGAATTAATAAACTGATACCAAAAATGTTTACAAATTGCAATTTATTTGATTAGATGCCACAATTTGTTCATCCTTGGTAAGTTGTTGAATAAACTACAGTCAGCCAAATTCGATCAATTTCAAAGCAGTTGAGTACAAGGTACCAATGTACTATGAAACAATTCCATTATTAGAATTATCAGAACTAGGATGCAAACCCTTTTTGGACCATATGATGGCAGCAAAGAATAGACAACATTTACTCTAGTGGTCATCTGGATTATTTACAGTCTGCTTCTGGTAGCCCTAATGCTGTGGCTTGCCGTGAAGTGTGAATTATTTTAATAGTTTCAACATTTTCCCCAAATTCTATGCCAAATATTAAGATTGCAAAGAATAGCAAAACTATCTTAGAATTCAGTATAACAAAGTTGGAAGGGATCTTGGAGGTCCTCTAGTCCCACCCTCTGCTCGGGCAGGAGATCCTATAGTATTACAGACAAATGCCTTTTCAGTCTCCTTGAAAGCCTCCAGTGTCTAATAGACATTTTTTTTCTGTATTCTAGGTTGGTGGTAGGATGGCCGATCGTGTGTTTGACATAGCCAAGTAAGAGTTTATTTTGTGTTTTTTCTCTACAAAATGAAGTGCCTTGTCTGTATAATATAAATTTTGTTATATGTATAATGTAAAATTATTCTAATTTGTTTGTTACTTGAAGTTCCTTACATTTTATCTTGTCAGTATTGAAAAATGAGGACAAGGAAGTTCTGATCTATGAAGCAGATGTGACTATGTTGCTCTGTCTTTTTCTGAACAGAAGCCTGATCAGATGTCTCTCACTTATCTTAAAGTCCTGCTCCTTAAATGGCAGACAGATCTATTTGTGGATATGGGGATAGGAGAAAAAAAATGTAAATTCTTTAGTATTATCTACTAGCTGATAACCTGGCATTGCCCGGGTACTTATTTATTCTAATCCTGTATTAGACAGGAAAAGGAATGGATTACATCTATAGTGTCAAGTCAAAGTAATGCTGAAACACACACAAAAACACACACACACTCGAACTTGAATCCAAAATGCACACTATCACTTCACACTATCACTGTCAAAAGTACTTGATTTGACACTATAGATATAATTCATTCCTTTTCATTTCAGCGGCCCAGGCATTCCAGAATTATGCTGGAACACACACACAACAAGGAGTGTTAGGGGTGTCTTACTGTCTCAGTATTTGCTTCCAGAGAGTAAGTCATCTGTGTACCAAGTTTGGTTGAAATTGCTCGAGGTGTTCCAGAGTTATGGTGGAACATAGACACACACACAGAGCCATTTAGATAGATAGATCGATTGATAGATAGATAGATGTTGTGACTCAGCAGCAGCTTGCTGTGAGTTGCGTCAGGATGCAGGAATAATGAGCAGCTGTTGCTCGTTAGGGTCGTCTTCTGCAGATAAAAGACGGATGGTGCCACACCTTAGTGGCAGAAGTCAACGTTCGTTCATGGTTCATCGTTCATCGTGTGTGGTTCATCGTTTCGAGATTCAAAGAGGCACTTGGATAAGTGATTTGCTTTCTGTAAACCTGATTCAAAGAGGNTTTTTTTGGGGGGGGGGGAGATGCGTCTTATATTCAAAAAATACAGTAATTTATATTTGAGAGGCCAGAAGATTAATATGAAGAAAATTGACTTTATTACATATACCCCTGCAGCCTTTCCAGAACACTGTTTTAGGAAGTGTGGTGTGTTATCTGCAGTAAAAAAATGAGGAAAGTTTGAATACTAGTTTCTACATCACTATGTATTTAAGATAAATCCAGATCCAGGATGGTGTCTGTTTTGAATTTGCACAATATAGTGAAACTGAAATTTTGGGTGAAATGCACAGCAGAAATGATGCCACATGCGTTTATGTTACTTAAGGTCATTCTCTTAGTATATTATGTAAATGCAGCTGTGGTGTGGTATATTTTTACTTGTGCCAATGCGCCAATCTGAATTTGCCATCTAAAATTTACACTGGTGAAAGAGATTTTTTTGCCTTTTAATTAACTTGATTTCTATTGTAATTACTTTTTAGTTTGCATTGGGTCAATGATCTTCCCAAAGCCTTGCATGAAGTAAGTACACCTGTCCCCTCCCTATAAAGTATTGATATGGTGGAGACAATAACAATCTTAACCATCGTTTTAGCATGCAGATGGCAGCTCCTGCTTGACCTTACTTGGGCTCAGAAGCTACGCTAGTACAGGCTGAGTTAGCTCTGTGAAGAGAGAGGGACAAGAAGACGGGACTAGACTGAGAGGTTGAAATGACATCCCAGAAGGTGGCAGTAATAAGCTACATCCTTACAGTTGCCAAGGAAACTACATCAGTGTATTCCTAAAGCAACAATAACATTGTAAGAACAAGCATCCTAAACTCAGGAAGAATTGTTTATGGCTATAGCTTATATAATTATATAATTGTGTATAACTATAGCTATAGAGGGACGCGGTGGCTCAGTGACTAAGACTTTTCAATCAGCTCAGTGCCTAACCTTGTCAATCAGAAAGGTTGACAGTTTGGCGGTTCGAATCCCTAGCGCTGCGTAACAGAGTGAGCTCC